GTGGGGCAGGGTGTCTTGTGGTGCAGGCTGTCTTGTGGGGCAGGGTGTCTTGTGGGGCAGGGTGTCTTGTGGGGCAGGGTGTCTTGTGGGGCAGTGTGTCTTGTGGGGCAGTGTGTCTTGTGGGGCAGGGTGGGTCGGGCTGTCTTGTGGGGCAGGGTGTCTTGTGGGGCAGGGTGTCTTGTGGGGCAGTGTGGGGCAGGGTGTCTTGTGGGGCAGGGTGTCTTGTGGTGCAGGCTGTCTTGTGGGGCAGTGTGGGCAGGGTGTCTTGTGGGGCAGGGTGTCTTGTGGGGCAGGGTGTCTTGTGGGGCAGGGTGTCTTGTGGGGCAGTGTGGGGCAGGGTGTCTTGTGGGGCAGTGTGTCTTGTGGGGCGGGGTGTCTTGTGGTGCAGGCTGTCTTGTGGGGCAGGGTGTCTTGTGGGGCAGTGTGGGGCAGGGTGTCTTGTGGGGCAGGGTGTCTTGTGGGGCAGTGTGGGGCAGGGTGTCTTGTGGGGCAGGGTGGGGCAGGGTGTCTTGTGGGGCAGGGTGTCTTGTGGGGCAGGGTGTCTTGTGGGGCAGTGTGGGGCAGGGTGTCTTGTGGGGCAGTGTGGGGCAGGGTGTCTTGTGGGGCAGGGTGTCTTGTGGGGCAGTGTGGGGCAGGGTGTCTTGTGGGGCAGGGTGTCTTGTGGGGCAGTGTGGGGCAGGGTGTCTTGTGGGGCAGGGTGGGGCAGGGTGTCTTGTGGGGCAGGGTGTCTTGTGGGGCAGGGTGTCTTGTGGGGCAGGGTGGGGCAGGGTGTCTTGTGGGGCAGGGTGGGGCAGGGTGTCTTGTGGGGCAGTGTGGGGCAGGGTGTCTTGTGGGGCAGGGTGTCTTGTGGGGCAGGGTGGGGCAGGGTGTCTTGTGGGGCAGTGTGGGGCAGGGTGTCTTGTGGGGCAGGGTGTCTTGTGGGGCAGGGTGTCTTGTGGGGCAGGGTGTCTTGTGGGGCAGTGTGGGGCAGGGTGTCTTGTGGGGCAGTGTGTCTTGTGGGGCAGGGTGTCTTGTGGTGCAGGCTGTCTTGTGGGGCAGGGTGTCTTGTGGGGCAGTGTGGGGCAGGGTGTCTTGTGGGGCAGGGTGTCTTGTGGGGCAGGGTGGGGCAGGGTGTCTTGTGGGGCAGGGTGGGGCAGGGTGTCTTGTGGGGCAGGGTGTCTTGTGGGGCAGGGTGTCTTGTGGGGCAGGGTGTCTTGTGGGGCAGTGTGGGGCAGGGTGTCTTGTGGGGCAGGGTGTCTTGTGGGGCAGTGTGGGCAGGGTGTCTTGTGGGGCAGGGTGTCTTGTGGGGCAGGGTGGGGCAGGGTGGGGCAGGGTGTCTTGTGGGGCAGTGTGGGGCAGGGTGTCTTGTGGGGCAGGGTGTCTTGTGGGGCAGGGTGGGGCAGGGTGGGGCAGGGTGTCTTGTGGGGCAGGGTGTCTTGTGGTGCAGGCTGTCTTGTGGGGCAGGGTGTCTTGTGGGGCAGGGTGGGGCAGGGTGTCTTGTGGGGCAGGGTGTCTTGTGGGGCAGGGTGTCTTGTGGGGCAGTGTGGGCAGGGTGTCTTGTGGGGCAGTGTGGGCAGGGTGTCTTGTGGGGCAGTGTGTCTTGTGGGGCAGGGTGTCTTGTGGGGCAGTGTGGGCAGGGTGTCTTGTGGGGCAGTGTGTCTTGTGGGGCAGTGTGGGCAGGGTGTCTTGTGGGGCAGTGTGTCTTGTGGGGCAGGGTGTCTTGTGGGGCAGGGTGTCTTGTGGGGCAGGGTGTCTTGTGGGGCAGGGTGTCTTGTGGGGCAGGGTGTCTTGTGGGGCAGTGTGGGCAGGGTGTCTTGTGGGGCAGTGTGTCTTGTGGGGCAGGGTGTCTTGTGGGGCAGGGTGTCTTGTGGGGCAGGGTGTCTTGTGGGGCAGGGTGTCTTGTGGGGCAGGGTGTCTTGTGGGGCAGGGTGTCTTGTGGGGCAGGGTGTCTTGTGGGGCAGGGTGTCTTGTGGGGCAGGGTGTCTTGTGGGGCAGGGTGTCTTGTGGGGCAGGGTGTCTTGTGGGGCAGGGTGTCTTGTGGGGCAGGGTGTCTTGTGGGGCAGGGTGTCTTGTGGGGCAGGCTGTCTTGTGGGGCAGGCTGTCTTGTGGGGCAGGGTGTCTTGTGGGGCAGGGTGTCTTGTGGGGCAGGGTGTCTTGTGGGGCAGGGTGTCTTGTGGGGCAGGGTGTCTTGTGGGGCAGGGTGTCTTGTGGGGCAGGCTGTCTTGTGGGGCAGGCTGTCTTGTGGGGCAGGGTGTCTTGTGGGGCAGTGTGGGGCAGGGTGTCTTGTGGGGCAGGGTGTCATCGACTCCCATGATTGAATGTTTGTTCTTTAAATTATATTTTATCTAGTACACATTTCATTTTGTCCTGTACACATTTCATTATGTCTAGTACATATTTCATTATGTCCAGTGCATATTTCATTATGTCCAGTACATATTTCATTATGTCCAGTAAACGTTTAGTTGTTTTGATTTAGTGATCTGTTAAATTAAGTGCCAGTTAGAAATATCGTTTTAAAAACCTTTCATTTGCTAAAACTAACGCCAATCATTTGTTTAACAGGATGAATAATATCATTAAGTATCCAAACAATTCCATGTAAAGTACATTTAAACACGAGCTGACAATATTGCACGTGGGCCTACTACACAGTGACCTTAAACATAACGCCCAAACAGACTAATTAATGGTTTCTACAGAAATACATTTGACATAACTAGTCACTAGAAGCTCGCGTATCTGGTTTGAAAGAGATTTTTTGTACCAAGCATGAAAAGCTTCTACTTATTTTGCTTCACAGATCTGGGTCTCCGTGTCATTTATCATTTATTTTTACATTCTTATTCAAGAACTCTTGTGTATTTAAAGTGCCCACAAGATAAATCGTAACCAGAAGCCAAACTGGCATAATCGAAAGGACTGGTCGATGCGGTGTATAGATCTTTTGTTATCCGTTTTATTCTGTCCGGGTTCCATTGTCTACTGACAGGGTATCTTGCCTTTGGTTAAGCGGCTTTCAGTGACAGTTAACTGAGAGATCTGGCGTCATTTATCGCGGTCACAGAGATTGTGTGGAGCCGTGGGAGAGTGGGGAGTGTCGCTGTCACGGTCTGCTGCACTCACGGGAGGGACGTGCACGCAATGGACGTGTACGGGTGATCATATCGACATCAGTAAGACGTGTACATATGATTATATCAACAACAGTCAAACGTGGACGCTAATGTCCTTCAAAAGTCACAGACATTTTTTTTACCAGATCTTGACATAAAAATTTATAGTATCAGTCGGTTTGTTTGTTTGGCTGTCAGATTGTACATAAACTAAATGTTCATGTGCATGCACACAAGCAAAACATGTGTTTTCTATCTAGCATATATATATATATATATATATATACTAGCTGCATCCCGTGCTCCGCCACGGTAAATCTTTTTTAAATGTACCAACTTGGGAACAGAACAAAACTAAACACAACACAAACGAACGCAAAAAAAAAACAAAAAAAAAACGAAAAAACAAACACAACACTCATAACATAAACACAATTTAAATGCAATCATAAAGGCATATTGCTCACAGTCTAGCCCGTAGCGCCAAATCGCGCCCTTTCCGGTGATTTGCAGCCCCCTCAAACTTTCGATTTGCACCCCTTCCCCCCCCCCCCCCCCCGCGCTAAAACTTTCGATTTCCGCCACCCCCCCCCCCCCTCGCAAATTTTTCCAACCCAATTTGGCGCCCCCTAAGGTCGGCACCCGGGGACATATGCCCCCCCCCCCCTCGCTACGCCTCTCCTATAAAACCCGACAGTATAAATAATAGGCAGTATCTATAATATATACAATATTTCACTTTATCCATTCACGCATTTTTTTCCCAGTACTTTAATTTTTAAAATTTACAATAGAGTTTCATAACTAAAACCATTGCGCACCTAATGAACGTGATGACGCGTCTATAATAGTGCTGAATAGTTGATTAAAAATTATAAGTAATAAACAGTAGGGCCTACATTCAGTGAATAAAATAAATAAAAGATTGCCTTTTATCAATCCATGTTAATTATAATTTTCTAACAATAATTTCTTCTTACACATCCGAATAATTTGCATTCACATTTTGCTAATTATATTATTGCAACACTAATTCCTTCTATGACGAACGTATATTTGCATTCACATTTTTTATTAGCGTGAGTTTAATGTATTTTTAAATTACCTCCTTTGTCAAAATTAGAAAAAAAGAGTTAAATTAATTTGATTTTTCTACCGTACTGTTATTATCTTATTAAAATGTATCCACTTTTTCTAGGAATATTAACGAAAACTATATTTGACATTGATCCTTTTAATATGTTTTAGCAATGTGCGTGTATTTAATATTTTCTTTACGTTATGCAAAATTGTACAAACAGTGGAAATTATAAAATAGCTCTATGCCACTATATAAACAAACCCTACTCTATTACTTATAATAAGACACTGCGGTGCACTGAAAAGCACAGCATGGTGCGAATGTTTACTTTTATGGTTCCAAAATCTATAGCGATGACGGAAGGAAGGACTGACACACTACTTGCCCGCTTATATTATAGATATATATATATATATATATATATATATATATATATATATATATATATATATATATATATATATATATATATATATATATATATATATATATATATATATATATATATATATATATATATATATACATTTACTTGTATTTAATAAATATATGTATGTAAATATATATTGTATGAATATAGAGGCTATATACAAGATATATATATATATATATATATATATATATATATATATATATATATATATATATATATATATATATATATCCATACTTGTGCTATATCCCGAGCGTGCCAGCAGCATGTCCGTGTCGTGTGACTGCCGTGGTTGCCTATCGCGCGGCTGCTGGTGGCGAGGATTGACTGCCGTAGACTACACCTCCCACCCTACATCACGGACCGGAGTGCGCTCCTTCCTCCACTCATTCCACGCCTGTTGACAGCAATTAAGACAGGCGTTGCTGTGATATTCTGGCGGAGCATCTAGACCTACCTTGTTTGTTTCCTGGATCTTCTTCATTTATCTCACTGAGCCACAGGTACACCTGGCGCTGTACAGGTAGTCAGCGGCACTAAGGGGGACTTATCCTGTGTACAGGAGACTGAGCCTGTTGACAGGGGACTGTAGCCGTGGACAGGGGACTGTAGCGATAGACAGGGACTGTAGCTGTGGACAGGGGACTGTAGCTGTGGACAGGGGACTGTAGCTGTGGACAGGGGACTGTAGCTGTGGACAGGGGACTGTAGCTGTGGACAGGGGACTGTAGCCGTGGACAGGGGACTGTAGCTGTAGACAGGGACTGTAGATGTAGACAGGGACTGTAACTGTGGACAGGGGACTAGCGATAGACAGGGGACTGTAGTTGTAGATAGGGGACTGTAGCCGTGGACAGGGGACTATATGTGTAGATAGGGGACCGTAGATGTAGACAGGGACTGTAGCTGTGGACCACTTATGCTACCACCTTTCCTCTCCATTGCCAGATTTCTACCAGTTACGCTTTGGATTAATCCATATTTGTGGAGATAATTTCTTCTTTGTGGAATTAAGCTGTCCGTTCAATGGAATTTTATTTCATTAAAATATTCAGAAGTTTTACCCCGGAATAAAAATTTCGTCGTCCGGTAAGTTGGATGCTGTGATTGAAGCTGGGGGTTGTGGTTAAAGGTGGTTGGGGTTGAGGGTGGTTGGGGTTGATAATCAGAGTTGTAGCAGTGGTTGTAGGTTGTGATGGAGTGTGGGTGGTTAAGTATAGACCAGAACTCAGGTACAAATAAACGGAAGGTCAGAGCTCTATAAGGTCATCCACAAATGACGTCACGCTATAATTAGCCCCCCCCCCCCCCCCACATGATAGTCGCATGTTTTCAGACACCAGAAAATGAAATAAGAGGATCTCACCGATCCTGCCAACATACACATCAGCGTGAGTTGTTCTGACCAAAAGGCTCACACACATGAATTCATTAAAACCTCATTAAAACATTCAGGCATTGGTCACTGCGGCTTAAAGTAAGTCAAGTCAAATAAAAAAATACGCTTGTGACAATTATGTTTGGCAATTTATCATATTTATTCTGAATAACGTTGACATGATTTATATTGGGAACTTGTGAATATCACACTTCTACTGAAAATTTCAGACAATATTTATAATTCATACATAGTTGATAATAATTTAAATTAAATAATCAATGAATGTTAGCAAATATTTAATTCATATTATCCCTAAATATTGGCCTACATTTATTAATTAAAAACCTATATGTTGAAAAATTTTGTTTTTTGACGACTTTAGACAAAATTTACCAGCGATTAATATTGTATCGAAGTCATATTTGTGGGATCGAAAAGCTAAAGTACTTTGCAGTCTCCATCTTGTTACAGAAAAATAATCAAAGACATGGCCGTGTAAATAATGAGGAATTACCACAAAACACACGAAGAGATAGTTCCTAAACTGGTTAATTTTACCTTCATAGCGGCCGAAAAACAAAAATAAAAATAAATAAAAATAAAAGCTTTAGCCTGAAATATTTCAGAAATTTTATATTTTAGGAATCTGATATAAAATTTGCGAAAACAGAGAACTAAACATTTTTTTCGTTGATGGCTACATTTCTATTTATTTTCATCCAGCCTAAATTATAAGCCGATGTTTCACTTTTGTAGGACAAACATCAGCAGTCTGTACAGAAACTCAGTGATCGATATTGGAGAAATTTGTACTCAAACTTAATTAACCGTTACAATGTTTAAATAAAATATATTTTAAAACCACATGACCTAGTTATGTTTACTTAAATTTCCATTGATATAATGAACAAGCAAACCATATTGTGTTAAACTTTTAAAATTTTTGTTTAGTTACCGAAAAAACTATAAACATCAAATACAGTTAATTTTTAGTTAAACTCGACAAAAACCACACAATAAAGTTTTATAAACACATTGTTTTTAATCACAACAGTACACAGACTTTTTAGAATATTTAATGGGCCTGTCTAGACTCCACTAGTTGGTGTCCGTAATGAAAAACTGAAAAACACTCGCTGTTAATACACATTCTTTCAAATGCCACGAATCAATAAATTTACCGGAAGATTTAAAAACAAATGTTGGTCATTATAAAATGTCCAGTCCGAATTTCTATTGTAAAATAGATGGTGTCATGAAGTTAACATGACGGAGGCTTCAAAGTAAATCAAAATGTAGCACTAAGTGGAGATTGTCATTTTCAAGCATTTACAAATTGTGTCGCTTAAATTTGTAATATATTACACTACAATTTTTTTTACTCAACTATTTTATTAGGAGCGTTACAAAAAGCTTGATCACTTGTAAGATAACCAAGTCCTACGTCTATCGCACAGAAAGCGTGGAGTCTTGAGGTAGAAATATCACCCACGTCTGTAGAACTAATTGAAAGTATATATATATATATATATATATATATATATATATATATATATATATATATATATATATATATATATATATATAAAACTATAAAACTACCTGTTCGTCATTGTGGGCCACAGAGCCACACCTGTGTTTGTAGAACTGGCTTAAAATAACGTGACGTAACATTTAATTATAGAACTTTGAAACATTTTATCAACACCCACTATGAAAAGAAAGTCGGGTCTTTGGACAAAATATCAAAAGGCGTGACAGAAGCAGACACAATACAACAAATATTAAAAATCTTTGAAATGTAGTGAAGATTAAAAAAACAATTTATTTTCTTTAACATGTTTAATAGATTTCATGTGGGACCAATACTTTTATTTTACTTTCCGAAATTCGATTTCATTTTCTTCTTTTGGCAGCAGTTTAAAACATTTTGATATAGATTTTCTATTTGGAGCTAAAAGTGAGGATGTTCAGATGACAAATCTAACTAAAAAGCTTTTATTGCGTCAACAACAATAATTTGGTCACTCTCGGCTAGCCAATCAGATTCCACCAATAGTTTTACAAGATGGCGTGTTTTGATTTAATTAGAGGAATGAATTTGTGAAGTATTTAAATCAGGAAAAAAATGCTTCCTTCTGATATTCAACATATGGGTTACAAGTGACCACATCGATACCCCCCCTTCCCCACCCCCCCCCCCCCCCCCCCCCGCCCCGCTGTATATTGGGATTAATGAACAGGATCACCCCGGCACCCCGGTGAGTGTTTCCCTGTTAGGTGAGTTAGACGCCACCTCTAAAGCCTTTCTTTCTTCTCTTTCAGCTTTCATTAACTGCGCCAACTCCGCACAAAAGTGCAGATTAATCGGCTAAATCGTCTCTTTGAAGACAGGACCTGCCCTCGCCGCTTGTTTCATCTCTCGCCCTCGTCCGTTTAGGGAGCGATCCAGTGACACGTCTCTGGGGTCACCCCGCTGGGAGGGGATCAAGCCACGCTCTGTTCCACAAGGGATTCGTCTTACAGGATCCTCAAACCCTTGAAACCTTAATGAAATGACGTCACACAATCCAGTCGGGATATTTCTGTAACATGGGAGTCTGGGGAGCGCTGGGGGCGGCAGGAAACTAAGCGACGCCCCTGGAATTGAGGGTGTCATATCGACTGAGCGACGCCCCTGGAGGTGGTGTCATATCGACTGAGCGACGCCCCTGGAGGTGAGGGTGTCATATCGAGTGAGCGACGCCCCTGCAGACGAGGGCGTCTGACAACTATGCACAAGTACCATGCTCTGGTTGAGCACCTTTCTCTATCACCTGATCTTGTGTGAGTACATCTTCAGATCGGTCAAGGCCAGTGGGAGGATCAGGAGAAGTGAGTACACCTCGCGTCCTTGTGATAAACATGCCACCCACGATACCACCCACGTTACCACCCACGTTACCACCCACGTTACCACCCACATTACCACCCACGTTACCACCCACGTTACCACCCACGTTACCACCCACGTTACCACCTTTGAAAAAACCCATGTTACCACCCACAACACCACCCATTTTTTTAACAACATCACCAGTAGATCATCTTTTTAACAACATCACCAGTAGATCATCGTTTTAACAACATCACCAGTAGATCATCTTTTTAACAACATCACCAGTAGATTATCTTTTTAACAACATCACCAGTAGATTATCTTTACAACATCACCAGTAGATCATCTTTTTAACAACATCACCAGTAGATTATCTTTACAACAACATCACCAGTAGATCATCTTTTTAACAACATCACCAGTAGATCATCTTTTTAACAACATCACCAGTAGATTATCTTTTTAACAACATCACCAGTAGACCATCTTTTTAACAACATCGCCAGTAGATTATCTTTACAACAACATCACTAGTAGATTATCTTTACAATATCACCAGTAGATTATCTTTACAACAACATCACTATTAGATTATCTTTACAACATCATTAGTAGATTATCTTTATAATATCACCAGTAGATTATCTTTACAATAACATCACCAGTAGATTATCTTTACAATAACATCACCAGTAAATTATCTTTACAACATCCCCTGTAGATTATCTTTACAATAACATCACCAGTATATTATCTTTACAACATCCCCTGTAGATTATCTTTACAACATCACCAGTAGATCATCTTTACAACATCCCCAGTATATTATCTTTACAACATCCCCTGTAGATTATCTTTACAACATCACCAGTAGATTATCTTTACAACATCCCCAGTATATTATCTTTACAACATCCCCTGTAGATTATCTTTACAACATCACCAGTAGATTATCTTTACAACATCCCCAGTATATTATCTTTACAACATCCCCTGTAGATTATCTTTACAACAACATCACCAGTAGATTATCTTTACAACATCACCAGTAGATCATCTTTACAATAGCATGACCAACATAGCTTCTATACAGTACAAAATCCCCTTAAAAAACCCAACTGAAGCAGTAGCCAATAGACAGGGTTTATCTAACCTGGCGGAGAATTTAATGTACACGCCGCGCCCATTTAGCCGACATTAGTCTTAAATTTGATACCGCTAATACTGCCCGACAGCGGCGTCTCCATGGCAACAATCACCAAGCAGACAATGAAGATCAGGCCAGTAATCTTATCACACGCTCATCTGAACACGGCTGCTAAAAATAGCAGGCGACTCACCATCAGCGCAATTAGGAGCGACCCAGACGGCTGAGCCGGGAGTCACGTGTCCTCGCGCATCATGTCAGGTACCGGAGGCAGACGCGGCGCCACATTCCCCCACCCCCACACCCCTCATCTCCCCCCCCCCCCTCATCCCCGCGTCTTTGTGTAATCTGATAGCATGAGGCGTTCACACTCGCAATTTACCGGTTATTAAAATACCATCGTCTCTGATAAATAATCACATTTTATATAAAAACACTACTTTATTATGAAATTCCCAAATTTCTAATCAATTCCTCTTTCTTCTTCGCATTTTGCAACTGTCAAATGAGCAAAAGCCATTTACAACACCCTTCCATGTTTCTGTAAAGTAGCTTTCGGACCTAACGGTCAATGATGCTGATGTAGTAGAGTTCATCTGTTTTAATATCTCCGGCATAGTCATGAGTTAGGGATAGTGTGGTCAGCACTTTGCTCAAACGTCTTTACTCTCCCTAATGTGAGTCAGGTACCTTCAGAGCTAGCGAGGTCGAACTCGAGATCCGAACTCAAGACTTTCGGTTTAGAAGTTGTAAGCTCTATCACCCAACCAGACCGTCCCATCATGCTTTTCTGTCCTTTATAATTTTATTTATCACAACTGTTTCTAGAATCTGTTTATTTTATATCTCTGCACAAGACGTCTTTGGGGTTTTCGTATTTTTTTTTATCCTTGTGGGTTCCATGACGTGTCTGATCTGGTAATAAATACTAGTTGCCGGTTACATCACCGTATCTGTAGTTGCCGGTTACATCACCGTATACGTAGTTGCCGGTTACATCACCGTATCTGTAGTTGCCGGTTACATCACCGTATCTGTAGTTGCCGGTTACATCACCGTATCTGTAGTTGCCGGTTAGATCACCGTATCTGTAGTTGCCGGTTACATCACCGTATCTGTAGTTGCCGTATCTGTAGTTGCCGGTTACATCATCGTATCTGTAGTTGCCGTATCTGTAGTTGCCGGTTACATCACCGTATCTGTAGTTGCCGGTTACATCACCGTATCTATAGTTGCCGGTTACATCACCGTATCTGTAGTTGCCGGTTAGATCACCGTATCTGTAGTTGCCGGTTACATCACCGTATCTGTAGTAGCCGTATCTGTAGTTGCCGGTTACATCATCGTATCTGTAGTTGCCGTATCTGTAGTTGCCGGTTACATCACTGTATCTGTAGTTGTCGGTTACATCACCGTATCTGTAGTTGCCGTATCTGTAGTTGCCGGTTACATCACCGTATCTGTAGTTGCCGGTTACATCACCGTATCTATAGTTGCCGGTTACATCACCGTATCTGTAGTTGCCGGTTAGATCACCGTATCTGTAGTTGCCGGTTACATCACCGTATCTGTAGTTGCCGGTTAGATCACCGTATCTGTAGTTGCCGGTTACATCACCGTATCTGTAGTTGCCGTATCTGTAGTTGCCGGTTAGATCACCGTATCTGTAGTTGCCGGTTAGATCACGGTATCTATAGTTGCCGGTTAGATCACCGTATCTGTAGTTGCCGTATCTGTAGTTGCCGGTTAGATCATCGTATCTGTAGTTGCCGGTTACATCACCGTATCTATAGTTGCCGGTTACATCACCGTATCTGTAGTTGCCGGTTAGATCACCGTATCTGTAGTTGCCGGTTACATCACCGTATCTGTAGTTGCCGGTTAGATCACCGTATCTGTAGTTGCCGGTTACATCACCGTATCTGTAGTTGCCGTATCTGTAGTTGCCGGTTAGATCACCGTATCTGTAGTTACCGGTTAGATCACGGTATCTATAGTTGCCGGTTAGATCACCGTATCTGTAGTTGCCGTATCTGTAGTTGCCGGTTAGATCATCGTATCTGTAGTTGCCGGTTACATCACCGTATCTATAGTTGCCGGTTACATCACCGTATCTGTAGTTGCCGGTTACATCACCGTATCTGTAGTTGCCGGTTACATCACCGTATCTGTAGTTGCCGGTTACATCACCGTATCTATAGTTGCCGGTTAGATCACCGTATCTGTAGTTGCCCGTTACATCACCGTATCTGTAGTTGCCGGTTAGATCACCGTATCTGTAGTTGCCGGTTACATCACCGTATCTATAGTTGCCGGTTACATCACCGTATCTGTAGTTGCCGGTTAGATCACCGTATCTGTAGTTGCCGGTTACATCACCGTATCTGTAGTTGCCGTATCTGTAGTTGCCGGTTACATCACCGTATCTGTAGTTGCCGGTTACATCACCGTATCTATAGTTGCCGGTTACATCACCGTATCTGTAGTTGCCGGTTAGATCACCGTATCTGTAGTTGCCGGTTACATCACCGTATCAGTAGTTGCCGGTTAGATCACCGTATCTGTAGTTGCCGGTTACATCACCGTATCTGTAGTTGCCGTATCTGTAGTTGCCGGTTAGATCACCGTATCTGTAGTTGCCGGTTAGATCACGGTATCTATAGTTGCCGGTTAGATCACCGTATCTGTAGTTGCCGTATCTGTAGTTGCCGGTTAGATCATCGTATCTGTAGTTGCCGGTTACATCACCGTATCTATAGTTGCCGGTTACATCACCGTATCTGTAGTTGCCGGTTAGATCACCGTATCTGTAGTTGCCGGTTACATCACCGTATCTGTAGTTGCCGGTTAGATCACCGTATCTGTAGTTGCCGGTTACATCACCGTATCTGTAGTTGCCGTATCTGTAGTTGCCGGTTAGATCACCGTATCTGTAGTTACCGGTTAGATCACGGTATCTATAGTTGCCGGTTAGATCACCGTATCTGTAGTTGCCGTATCTGTAGTTGCCGGTTAGATCATCGTATCTGTAGTTGCCGGTTACATCACCGTATCTATAGTTGCCGGTTACATCACCGTATCTGTAGTTGCCGGTTAGATCACCGTATCTGTAGTTGCCGGTTACATCACCGTATCTGTAGTTGCCGGTTACATCACCGTATCTATAGTTGCCGGTTAGATCACCGTATCTGTAGTTGCCGGTTACATCACCGTATCTGTAGTTGCCGGTTAGATCACCGTATCTGTAGTTGCCGGTTACATCACCGTATCTATAGTTGCCGGTTACATCACCGTATCTGTAGTTGCCGGTTAGATCACCGTATCTGTAGTTGCCGGTTACATCACCGTATCTGTAGTTGCCGTATCTGTAGTTGCCGGTTACATCACCGTATCTGTAGTTGCCGGTTAGATCACCGTATCTATAGTTGCCGGTTACATCACGGTATCTGTAGTTGCCGGTTAGATCACCGTATCTGTAGTTGCCGTAACTGTAGTTGCCGGTTAGATCATCGTATCTGTAGTTGCCGGTTACATCACCGTATCTATAGTTGCCGGTTACATCACCGTATCTGTAGTTGCCGGTTAGATCACCGTATCTGTAGTTGCCGGTTACATCACCGTATCTGTAGTTGCCGGTTAGATCACCGTATCTGTAGTTGCCGGTTACATCACCGTATCTGTAGTTGCCGTATCTGTAGTTGCCGGTTAGATCACCGTATCTGTAGTTACCGGTTAGATCACGGTATCTATAGTTGCCGGTTAGATCACCGTATCTGTAGTTGCCGTATCTGTAGTTGCCGGTTAGATCATCGTATCTGTAGTTGCCGGTTACATCACCGTATCTATAGT